GGAGGGGTACTAAGAAATGGGAATAATGGATTTGTGAGCTATTTTGAGCTCAAATTCAGCTTTTCTCATGTTATGTAGTTCTTTTTTTACCTGGTCACCATGGTAACTTATGCTGAACAGTAACCTGGTGAGGTATTCTAAAAGTGGCCCTAAGTCCCAGTTGTTTACTGATTCCATGTTTTAAATATTAAATAAATTATTTAAATATAGATTCTCTGCTGTTAGGATACACTTTATATGTGCAACTTTTAATCTGTACCTTAATAACATCATGCCAGCAGTGCTACATCTGTAACTGTTCAGTCAAAGAAATTAATTTTACTTTGATTTGTTGACAATGGGATTTCCATGTCTTCCTTATCAGGATATGGGACAGAAACCTTTATTATTTTAAAGCATCCAGTTTAAAGTTTGAAAGCTCCAATGTGCAGCAAAGAAATAAACAGGATTTATTTTTGGAATTAAAATAATCTGTTGGTTATCTGACCACTCTGAGTGCTAAAACTCAAGATTAATGATTTCCTATAGCATTCATTTTGAGTCTTGACATCAACAGTCTTGCATTTTTATGTTGGACTTTTATCATCATCCTGTGATAAAATGTCCAGAGTAGGTGGCGCTCATAGGGATCATTTTGTGATGTAATGTGTATGTGTTAGTCCCCATAGGGAAATTGCTCCTCTGCATTTAACCCATTCACCCAGTGAAGCAGTGGGCAGCCACCAATGCAGCGCCCGGGGAGCAGTGTGTAGGGATGGTACCTTGCTCAGGGGTACCTCAGGGTAGCTGTTCAGTGGAGTCGAACCCCCGACCTTCCGATCATGGGGCCACCACTCTACCTACTGCCCCAAAGCTATCCCTGCCTTGTATGAGCATGCACATAGCCATCTTAGAGCTAAATGTGCACTGATTGGTAGTTAGCGCAACAAAATACATACTTAATCATGGTAGCTGTTATGCTTAACCCCTAAACGACTTGATGGCAGCTGAACAAACGTCAACTAGTTTTAATTATTAATGGCAGGTTAATTACACTGCAGCAAAATTAGAGTTTTACTTCGAATGGGAGTTTAAGTCCAGTTGGTAGCTTTCTCTATGTTTTAGGGAATCACCACGTTTCAACAATCTGTAAGGTACATCAGCTGGAGCCTTTGGTAGCCTACTTCTGGGGACACGTCAATCATGCCCTTTGTTTTCATCAGGTGAAAATTTTTAATTATTGTTTTCTTCAATTGAATCTTGTAGCTGAAACTTCAAAGTAGCTAGCAAAAATGAATTCTCCTCACCTACAAGGTCTTGACTATTCAAACACAATTATATCTGAAAGACATCATAGTACCACATCACCCCAACAGAGCAGTGATGAGGTTAGACTGCTGGCTTATTCTAGGATACTTAAAAGTAGAATGGGAGGCACAGCCTTCAGCTTTCAGGCCCCTCTTCTGTGGAACCAGCTCTTAGTTTGGATTCAGGTGACAGACACAATTTTAATGTTGAGCTTAAAACTTTGTTTTTTGAAAAAGCATATAGTTTGGGTTGGATGAGGTGACCCTGAAATCCTCCCTTAGTTACACTCCAGTAGGCCTGCCAATGTTCCATAATGCACAGTGTTGGAGGTGGGTGAATCAATCCAAATATTGATAGTAATGATCCCACTGCTGATATTAATAGATGTGCTTCAATCCTCTAAGCTCGGTATGTAGTCCATTTTAGGAAAATGAAAAAAACAAACAAACCAAAAAAAACCCAGAAAAACTTTAAACATTAAAAATGTCTGAACCTTTTTGTGTTGACTGTGACATATATTGTATTTATAGCTTACGGCACAGAAGACACATAATTCAATTCATTTTTAAGCCCTAAATCCAAGCTGGCAGCTGGTTCCACATAAGAGGCACCTGGAAGCTTCCGATTCTACTTTTAAATATTGGAAATTGAGAATCACAAGTAAGCCCGCGGTCTGACAGCGAAGTGCTCTATTGAGGTGGCACGGTACTATGAGGTCTTAAAGATAAGATGGAGCCTGATTATTCAAGGCCTTGTATATAAAGAGGAGGATTTTAAACGGGGCCAATGAAGAGAAGCCAGTGTGGGATAAATATACTCTCTTTCGCTGAGGCGTTTAGACTGAAGACAAAGTCGACCCAAAGTCCTTTAGAGGCAGGCACAAATCAGTGATTTAGTGGTCATTAAATATGTTCAGAATTTGCAAATTGATTGTGATTCATCCCATAAGTCACGACACACTACTCTCCCCTATATAAACTGCCTTTATAGATTTGATGTATCAGTGTCTGTATTGCCTAGTATTTCCTTGGTATCAGATTGATACCAACATTTTTAGTATTGAACAGCATTTATTGTGTGTTTTTACATTACACACCCTTTCCCACTGTCTTTCTACGACTCTGTAATTAACCATTAGTTGTTATTGACCTTTGGTTTACTTTCACAATGCGTCGTTTGTCCAGTCTCCCTCCACTCACCTCCAATCAGTCGCAATAATGGTTGTTCCTCTCTGAGCCTGGTTCTGATGAAGGTTTCTTCCTATTAAAAAGGAGTTTTTCCTTCCCACTGTCACCAAGTGCTTGTTTACAATGCTCTGTGTTCAGTGTTCTGATTGTTGGGGGTTTTCTCTTATTACCTTAGAGTTTTTAACCCACAGTATAAATTGCTTTGAGGCGATTGTTGTTGTGATTTGGTGCTTTATGAATAAAACTGAATTGCAAAAAAAAAAAAACCCAAACCATCTTTGGACTGTGCATTGTAAGGCTTGTTTGTTCTTTTTGTCTGTGTCATTTTACACAAAATGCAGACTTAGTTGGACATTGAACATAGTAGCATCTGTGGTTTATATTATGTCCCCCAGAATGAGTACAAAGGTCACCCGAGCTGCTGCAGCCGCCCTCATAATGCTGTGTGAATGACTCCACTAATGACACCAGATAGCAATTCAGCAGCAATTTCCCCAATCTGGTGAAAAACAAACAACAGCCACAGAGCTCGTTTCCAAAATCAATCTTTGCATTTAATTGAGCGCTTTAGAAGCTTAACAGTAAACAAGAAAAATGTACACTGGTACACATATTTCAGAAGGACAAAAAATATGAATTCTTGATAAATATATTTGGTATTTCTGTTGCTTTAAATAAAGGAACCATATCAAAGTCTGACTTCATGCACACCACGGCACTCACACACACTGAACTCGACTGATAAAAAAAACTTCACGTATTTCCGTGTCTGTTTTCGGCTACTATATTACTGGTGCCGGTAGGCCTGCACAGCTTACATTAAATGTACCATACATAGAAATATTAATGTAGCAAGTAAAAGGCACTCAGAGAAAAGCTTGGACATGCCAGTAAACTCAAAGCAAATTGACCACAACCACGTAAAGCAACTGGATAGTTTCATTCCAAAACCACAACGTTTTTATTTAAAATCAGATCTTTTTACATAACGTAAAAAACCCCTCCGTCTTAAAAGTTGTAACTGATTATGTGCTTGATTTTAATTATAAATGTATCCTTGTCTGGGTTGGTTACTTGGGATGAAACAATCACAGTTTGCAATCACTGCAACATAGCTGAAAACACTACAACCACACCGCCAGCTGAAACCAAGAAAAAAAACCCAACTGTTGGCTAGTGCCTCAGATAGATGCGCACTGTACTGTGTCTCTAAATCTGTCTTACTCAAAATAGAGTGTACATAAACAATATAAATAATCTTTACACTCTGTACAAGGATATTTGTAAGACACTCACTGTTGGAGGTACATTCAGAAATGAGGCTACACTCTCAGTTAGTACCTACAGCATTTATGATATGTAACTCAGAGGAATACTCGATATAGGAACAGATATGCGTGCACACAGCTGAATGCTTCTACAAAGCAAGGATTATCTTCGCTTTTATAAGCCAGCTGTGAAATAAGCTCACGAAACCGGACAGTTGACACAGAGCGGGATGGAGGCAGACAAGGAAGGGGGGGGGGGGAACAAATCATTAGTTGTAGCTTTAGTGTGCACACAACCAACATGGTACACATATGCACTTGTACAACAGCTGCTCCGAGTAACTCCATGCAAAAGTTGGAGATGATCATTTTCAGTTAAGTACATTAACAGCTACAGCCGACACAGAGCTGCTGGGTTTTCTGCACACTTCCTGCTGCTCAGAACCATGAACTACTACACCTATTGTGGTCAGCTTACTGCTACAGCTTGGCCCTAAGACGGAGAAGGATTTTTGCTATTGTTTTGGCGAAATGAGTGATCTAGTCAAAGCAGAAAATGTTTCCCTCCCCAAAAAAAGAACAATGTTCAGGACAGGTTCTTTGCGACATACACCACCGCGCGGCTCGTCTTATCACTGAGGAACAAGGTAAATTTGTTTAAGCCTGTCCTCTGGGATCTAGTAGCTAATATGAAGAGCAGTATAACCCCCTTTCTTTGAGAGTGTAAGAATGGAAGGTACATATAGGAAAGAATTGATTTCCCCCTCACCGCAACCACTTAAATGCCCAGCAGCGCTGAATTTGCTCGGTTCAGCGGGAGTCGTGGAATAGAGGAATCGGGCCAGCGAGCCTGAAGCTGTTATACACCAGTCTGTATGATATGCATGTAATGCGATTCCTTGACATAGTGTAAAAATATGGACTATATATAAGCAGTGGGCGTAGTCTCACGTCACAAGCAAGGTGTACATGTGACTGAGAAACAAAGGCCTCTGCATGGATCAATCACACGGTTGTCCATGCGTTTTACACTAAACTTTGAAGTTATCCCTACAGTTGGGCTTCTTTATGTCACAGGATCAGGTACCCCCTGCTGGTCATGAGAAAAAAATGTAAGTCCTTCTTTCTTATGATCTATGATAAGTCCGAAAGTGCTGACTGAATGCAGGTTTGACCACACCATTACCTCCAAAAAGATTAGCACTTTATGGCGTAGTGATTTCTATTGATCTGTCATAACTCCGAAACAAATCTTTATTGCAGTGAGCATTTAGGACTGGTGACAGCAGAATGGAACGCAGAGAGAGAGATATGAGGAACACGCTGACTATGCTATTTTGCTTGTTTAATTTCATATAATGAGCGTGCTTTGGGATGAATTCTCGCCTCTTCCTCAGATGCGACCCCTCACTGACTCCCTGGCCCTTTCACCTAATGAGTCGCCGAACCGGAGCCGCTGGAGACCGAGCGTACGTGCCAAAAGGGCAGCTCTGTTGTGGCAAGGGGAAATCATGCTTCGTTTACAAGTGCAGTTCTCGTTCAGTAATCCAATAATAAAAATTGTTGTCTCTTTGTAAACTAATTGAATGGGTGGGGGTTGAACTGATGCGCATGGCCACATATGTCAGATCAGATCGCTTGTTTGATACTCTTGCTCTACCGTATCCAGAAAGGCTCGTCTGGTCACTGTTAACTCCCCTGTCCCACACAATCACACCTCTTTTTATCCAGTAACCTGCAGCAGAGGGATTCAGAGGTATTAAGTACTGTAGCTATCCCTGAGGTGCCTATCTCTCATGCATTTCCACAGCACAGCGAGGCCAGCCCTGGAGCAATGATCTGTAATGTGCTTCAGGCTCCGCTTTCATCCAGGTGGATCCATTACTGGACTGAACAGAAGAGTGGAGAGGGGGGGGTTTGTATGGAGTGTGCAATGTGTATTCTACCCTGTGTATCTGGTCATGATGATGGCTCCTTTGCTGGAAGGTTTTCTAAAGTTTAAGGTGTTACAAAGTTTACCTGGCAGAAATACTAACAATGACATCCAACTTTTTTCAGTCTTTTCAAGTTCAGGCCCTACAACTTCTTGTCTTTTTCTTTTTTAGTTGCCCTTCTCATTCAAAAAGTCCAACTCCGACTGCTCTGTCCCCTCTGGAATACATCAGCCTGAACAACGCCCTCCATCACAAAGTGCCCTGATCAGCAATGAAGAATCCACCTTCTTTCTTTTTCCTCCTCCTCAGTCTGTGGGCCCTCCAGCAGACTGCTGCCACAAGCAACATCATGACGCCGACACACAGCAGCGCCACGGACACTACTTTGGTCTGGAGCAACGTGTTAAAGGTAAACGTCACCCCAGTTCCTGCCATGCCGATCACCAGAGATATCACGCCGAACGGGAACACGCAGCGGTACCAGGACTTCTCTGTCCCGCCTGTAGCTTGGGCGAGCCTCTCCAGCGTTGGGAGAGACTCTGGAGGTTTGGCCGAACACCTTCCGACACTTCCCTCCATCTCCCCTCCTTCGCCACAGCCGTTCAAACCCTGGTTCTCAGAGTCCTGGGGCAAGTTGTTGGCCTCGCTGCTGTTGCCGCAGTCCAGGTCCGGATGAAGGACCGAGGCTGGGGGCTGGCGGCCCGAGGAGCAGCCCATCTCAGAGCTGCCGTCCTTGAGTGACGAAGCGCGAAAAGCTGCCCGTCGGCAGCGGGGGTCCTCTTTGAGTACGTTTGATGATTGCTGCTGCCGTTTATGATGCTACAGGGGGTTTCTCTGAAGCTGCTTCGAGTGCTGTCAATGACAGAGAGGTTGCTGCTACTGGTCTTGTTGTTGTTGCTCTCAGTACTTAACGCCAGCATGTGCCTGCAACTGGAGACACAGAGAGAAGACCTGAAAATAGAAAGCAGGAGATGGGGGGGAAAGAAGAAAAAATAGGGCAAGACAGAGAAGAAAACACAACTACTGAGCAAACATTCCAAGAGGGCTGGAGACATTCACAGGAAAAGGATGGAAAGAAAGGAAAAATAAAGCCAACAGATGAGACAGATCTGCTACAGAGAGGAGGCACTTACCCGGTATTTTCAGTATCCATCAATGAGTGAATGTTTTCAGTGCAGCCTTGTCTCCTGAGCGGCTCGCAGCAGCAGCAGCACCACAGTGTTGTGATGCCGATGTTCATAGGATTATATAATGACAGAGGAGAGGAGGTGGAGCCTGTGGGACGTGGTCAATGGGATGCAAGCATCTGATTGGCTCCCCTGGCAGAGTGATTCAGGGAGGGGCTGAGATGAGGTTAACCGTTCAGCGGTCTCATTCACTGATCTTAATTCATTATTTAGTGTGACATGGAATTTGAGATACCCCTTAAAGGCACTGCAGTTTTTCATTATGGGCAGAATATAAATGACACTGATACAGAAACGAGAAAAAGATGCTGCTTGACAATGAAATCGGACCAACAAATGTAATCGGCATGAATACTATGACACCACATCCCGCAGCTCTGTCCTTCCCTGACTTCATTTTCACTGCTGCTGTCACACATGTTATCAGGGTCAAGTGAAAATCTCCAGTCTCTCCAGTTGTGTTACAAGACAGTGCAAGATCCCCACACCAGGGGTGACAGTGGAATATAATTACAGTGAGATAGAAACCTTGTATCTGCAAAATGTCATCTTTCCAGCAAGAAAAGCGGGACTGCTAAAACTGAGATAATTCAGTTCTTAATAGTTTTAATCAAACCCATGAAGGTCACAGAGAAGCAAGACGTGTAATTAGTGAAGATTGAACAGCAGCCAAATTTGTATTTTTTTTAAACAGCTATTCATAATTCAGAATTGAAGTGAAGACATTTTTTGCACAAAAGCATGATGGTTAACCTCGTTATGGTCGTGTTTGTGTCACATTTCTCCAGCATGTATCTCTTATGCTGTTCAGAAAATGACAGTAGGACACAGCAGCAATGTTCCCTCTAATTTTTCATGTGTCTGAGCGAACGCACAAACTCACTGAGCGGTTCCTTGGACCACTGTGAGCAACAGCAGACGTGTGCACTGTCGTCACGCCAGCATCAAATCCATCCAAGTTGGTGGTTTATTAAAATAATCAAATTGCAGCATTTACATTTATGTTAGACTACTTTTAATTAAGTGCTTTAGCCGACTTACAATGAAAATTTTTAAAAATCTTGTTCATAACTTGAACTCCAATTTTGAAAACACGACTCTCTTTCTTTTTTTTAATTTCTTTTTTAATAAAGCTCTGACTTGTATTATGAGTCTGAGTCTGTGGTCTGGGAGAGAGTCCTGTAACTCTCTGTCTGCAAAATACAGTATATAATGACCAATGTTGGGCAATT